AATTAACAAAACTTTAATCCCAAAGGCAATAAATGCAAACGAATGGTGCTTAATGGAGGCTAATTAATTTCCATTAACAGCATTAGTCAGTCAATTTAGTAAAGGTATACAATGACCAAATGATCTCTACTGGCCATACTGTGCACTGGTATTGTTAAAACTCTAATAGCAAGACTACTATAGACAAATCCAAAGGTCACTGATTCCATTTGGAAATGCTGCCAGAGGGTTGCTGTCAGTTTAACTTCCTGAATTTCTGTAACCAGACACCTCAGTTGGTAAGACGCTCTGTACTAACCAATGAAATGAAATTCATGGCTGATGTATGCACTTCAGAGGAAGTCTAAAAGGAGAGGCTTGTGACATACAGTCCAACCCTTCTAATCACAACACAAGTAGGCCTGTCCCTACTCTGTGCTTACAGCCACTATTAGTCATGTGAGCTAGACAGTGCACCAGCAGTGGGATAATTCTAACTGATCTCTTTCCTCTTTTGAATCGGATACTTAAGTCTGACCAAGAAATTCTTATTCTTAAAGATCATCTCGGCAGGGCTACTTTAACTCCTAAGTGAAACTTTTTGTGAGAAAGAGTTTATTTGGCATTAAAGCCTCACAAAAAAACGGCAGGACACTCTGTCCTTACGGATTGTTTGCATTCCACTTCAAATTTCATTTGAAAATCACTTTTTTTTTTGCAATAGGCTTCACAAACAAGTTTCTTTTTGAAAGAGGCCACTATGCGGTCACAATTGTTTGATAAAAAAATAACTAAATTTAAAAAAAACTGACAGCAGTATCCAGTTGAATACGATTAATCTGGAAGTAAGAGGAAAGAGCAGCAGGCAAATTTTACAAAAGGAAGACTCAACGCCTGTCATAACAACAAGTTTAAATCAAGCAAAAAAGTAAGAAAGCCTCAAAGCAATATGTCAGGTTAACAGTTTGTAGCAACGGATAAAGGCTATGAAACAGACTGGCTAACACCGAGAAACACACAAAAGACCAGAAGAGGTTACAGGGTGTTTCTGCTCCATAAAGCACAAGAAGGAGCCATTCAGCAATGTTCATATTAAGGGACTCAAGCTTCTGCCAAGAAGCCTGTTGTCTCTTGGATGCCCTGACTGGAGGTATGGAATATTTCATAGCGTAAGTGGAAAAGACACTTCACTTTTCAGAGTAAAGTTATTATAACACAAGCCTTCATTACATGTACTATAAATTATAGAACAATATATTCTATATATATATATTATAATGTGACCATGCTGTATAGCCTTGCATTCAAGTTTATAAGAGATTTTTTATTTGCTTCTTCATTTATCATTAAGTTGGAATACTTCTAGAAAAAGTTAAAAAAAAAACATTTTAAGCACCATTTGAATTGCTACATAAACACTCAAAGCCCCTTTCTTCCATTAGGTTAGACCGGATATAGATTTAAAATGCTTAATGTATGTAGCTCTGAAATGCTGTGTAACTGTAAGCTTTTGACTTAAAATGTCTACTCAGAGCTGCAACACAAGCATGGACACAACTGGAGGATTGCTACTGTAGGTACCCTGGTTCCAAAAAATGTCTTCCACGAATCTTTCATGTAAAAGACAGTATCTCTTCAACAAGGGTAAGGTTGAACTGGCCTGTTATCTATTTTTTTGGACAGTTAAAATGTGAAAAATGTTTAACTTTATGAAAAACAAAGTAGTTTGGCACAACTATAATACTGCAATTGAAAGCACTCTGTAAAATCACTCTTCTACTGCAACTGTCAGTGATAACAGTTAATTCATACAGATGAGGGAGAATGTCAATAGGAAAGCCCAATGAGGAGCTGAGTTAATAACTCATACTAACAAAGGAACAAGGAATGATTTGTATGCACAAATCATGTTCTTGCTACAGCCAGAATTAGGGTTAGGGCTACAACAGGACAGTTAAGTGAAAACAAGCTGCATGCTTTTACGGTCATTTTGATTATAAAGAAATCAAATGCAGAGAGAGATATACCATCAATGACAAAAAAAGATCCTCATGACTCTTATCAGTAATGTTAAATTACTCATTTTGTACATGTTCCCTTTCGCAATTGTTACAGAATTCATTATCCACATTAATTTAATTACAGTTACAATTTAAAAGGGTAAGAGAGGAGAAAATGTTGACTTGAGGATTGCTGGATTTTACTGGGGTTTTAAAATATAAGTCAATTATTTTTAGATGGTATCTACAAAACATAGCCGAATGCAAAATCTATTTAAACAACTGGAATGATAAGCACAAAGCCTCAGTAAAGACATCCTGTGAGAGCAGCTGCCATGACAGCAGAGACCCATCACAGAAGCACACAGGCAGTAACATACTCATGGACAGAGTCACCTACCAAAAGCAGCACTGGTCTTCTCCATGTCGTTAACCCAATTATTCCTGAAAGTATGACCTGTAAGCAAAAAGAAAATAATAAAAAAGGCTAGTATGAAATAGATCATTTTTGTAATCACAAGTGGGAAGGAGAGACAATTAATTTGCATATCGCAAAAGTACAGTAGCACTTAGCTTACTCGGTTGTTAGTAGCTAATTGATTAAAGTTCTTGTAATGTGATCAGGACGCCTGCGCCATGCTTCAAGCAAGAACTGTTCTCAGTTTCGAATGGCTTTTTTTCTTTAGTTTTCCTTCATGTCCTCTTATTTGTGTTGCACTACTGATCCTGTCAAGTCCAAAGGTTTGATTTTATCAATGCCTTTGGACATTTTGAACACTTATTTTGGGTCCCCTTGTAGTCTTCTCTGTTCAAGATTCAGTTCCGTCAGCCTGTCGGGGTACAACGCTCATTTCAGACCAGGAACGTACCTGATCACTCTTCTCTGAACTGAATCCAGAACAGCAATGCCACTTTTATATAATGATGACCATACTTGTACACAGTATTATAAAGGACTTCGTCCACTCTACAGTTTTGACATAATATCCATTGAATGTGATTCTACACTTTTGAATAAATCCTACTATTTGCATTTCTATTTCAATCAGAATAAACAACTTTGTATCTGTTAGATGTTTAAGCAGTAGCGTGTGTGGACATATCCGGAAGGACTGGGTTCAAACCCCCGGGTGGGATGCTGTTATTGTACCCCCTGGGCAAGACACTTCGCTCAAATGACTCCTGTAAATGTCTGGTTGTAGAAATGGGACTCCAGACCATCAAGGTGAATGGGAATCTGTTCCCAACTGAACTCCCTCACAAAATAAGAGTAACAGAACAGTGTCACTTGGTTCCCTTCTCACTTTCTCTAATACTTAACAAGAGCATCCCATCCTCAAATCATTTTCAGCCAATCCATTTGCACTACTCTTCAGAATTGACTTTATTTTTCCCCCAGCATGCTGCTTTACCACGGCAATAACTAAACATCAACAAGAGAGAATAAAACAAAACAGATGGAATGCACAACTGAACAGCTAAAAAAGTTAAAATACAAGAAGACAGTACGTGTGTGCTCTTGTAGAGCCAAGGCATTGTCTGGTTTGTATTCCAGGAAGGCTCAGACTGACTTCATTCAGTGACATTTACTCCTGGCCCTGGGAGACTGCAGGTCACTAGTGTACTCTAGGTGTAATGAGGAGCTTATAATCTTCAATGAGCCCTGGACAGTAGTAATAAGGATCAATTAAGCAAACAGGTTGATTCAGATGCAGTCATTAAGAGTCTGGGGGGCGATGAAAATCAGGAGACACAGTAGCCCTCCAGGATTGACTATCAGTGACTTAACTGAACCCATTATTCCTTAACTGGCACCAGCTAACAAGGGTCAATGAGACCATGAGAAAAGTTACATATGAGCTATATCTAGAGTCTATGAGTTATATCTAGTTTGTCTGGTTAATCAAATGTGCGTTTCATCCCATCAGGCTGGTCTGTGATGGAGACCAGGGAATTTGCTACAGAAACAAAATACTTTGAATCCCAGAAAAATGCACTCTGTGTGTGAACAAGGATTCAGCAGCCACAGGCTGAATGATTACGAAAAGTGAGGTCAAATATTTGTTTACATAAAGCTGCAGGACCACAGCCATGTGCAGTTAAGTAGATGTGGTTAAATATGAACTAACACCAAAACTAAATCTCAGCCTTATGTGATTTTAAATTATTTTCCACAATTTCATGAGCCGTTATCATAAGAATAAATGCAGTATGTACTGTATATACAAAACAATGAATTATATTCTGTTATTTACAACTTTAACATTGTTTAAACTATGTTAAATGCATTAAGTATATTTTACTAGGATGTAAGATGTTTTATGGCTGGCATTAAGCTTTGCCTGGACATCATCAATTGAAATAAAACTACAATGTAAATAAAAAATATATACTGCATCTCATATCAACAGCACTGCTTTCATTATTGTATGTAATGATTTCCTAGTCATATAGCACTATGGACCTACAGTATACTGTCACAAACAACAAATATAAGCAAAGACACATCTCTTTGATAAAGCAGCCTTCATTTAAGCTCCTACTATTTATGGTGCAAAAAGGGCCAATAAAATTGATTTATTGTTAAATTAGATATTCCCATGCGTTTTATGGTTCCAGATATAATCCTTTCAGCTAATCAAGGATTTCCAGGGTATATGAGGTTGAGGTTAAAGTTATCCAATGAGAAATACTGAGATGATGTCATGTGAAATCATTAAAATGCTAGCTAATATATTTGACATTTCAAATTGAGGTAAAAGTGACACAATTGTTGAGCTCATAAAGAATATATATCAATAACCATTTGAAAAGGCATGAATTTAGTTAACGCGAAAAACAGCTGAAAAATCAGGCAGTGCCCTGCTCAAGTAACGAAGATCACGTTCAGCCCGTTCATGTGCACCTCCACATGATCATCTCTATATTGTGAATGTCAGCCCATTAATCACTGCAAATGTGATTAACTGTAACTGTGGAAGAGGGGGCTCAGTCCAGCAGCACTGCAGGCTGCACTCCACAGGTTGGCCCGACTCTTTGTTCCATGTCAGGAGGATGGAGGAGGAAGAGGAGGGTCACAACACCTCAGGACAGCTGCCACATATCGGTGACATTTCGCAAATGCTAGCAAACTGAGCATGACCTTTAAATTATAAAAGGGGGGTGGATTTCTTTATAGGCTTTCCTCTGATGCCTTTGCAAGGCCAGTGTGAGCTCCAGAAGACCTTCAGCTTGTGAATCTCGGGCCCCTGCACACATCTGAGGGCTAGTAAGCACATCAGGCCCGCCTTTATGACAGAATCTAGGTCCTCTTCACTATCTTGATTATAGACAACAGTTTGAATATCTCTTGCCACACTGCACAAAATAAGAACGAGGGAGAGCTATTTTGACACAAGCTGGAAAAGACACACAGAAAAGGAAATGGGCTTCCACTTCATTGACTACGACACTTTCACTGTTAGCTAGCTGAAATGAGGCAGCAACACTTTGTGTTCTCAATCTCTGCCCAAAACGTGGCTGACAATAATTCCTGTCTGCACCAAGCATGGATCGCAACTTCTAATCCTGAACAGGAGCCATCAGAGAGCAGACCGATTGGCCAAACAAGTCTGCTGACCAGAACTTTACTGAGCATGCCCAGGTCATGATAGAGAGGTTAGCAGCAACAGCTCTCTCCCCGTAAGTAACACAGGAGCTCCAGTGCTTTTGCTAACAACAGGCCCGGCTCCAGCAGTGCGTAGTGCTTGATTACTATATACACAGGAAGTAACTTAAGGGTATTTGTTATTTCAGGCTTCACTTCAAAACTTCGTTTCCAGGGTGTGGCACGTAAAGCAGTGAAGAGAATCTAAATAGTGATTTTACATGCTCTCATCTTCATTCTTAATATTTTCCCATAAGTTTAAACTGTACCCAATCATCCAATTTAGTAAATGACATTCTATGAACACCCTGATTCTTGAGAGAAGCTGATGGATACTTAAATGTACTGTACACAGAATACATATCCCCATAAACGAAAAACAAAAGAATTTACTTGCGAAAACCGGGGAATAATGAGGCACTCAAAAGCAAGTTCACTGTGCAAGATCTGAAAAGTCCTTTATACCTACTACAATGAAATGCAATTCATAAACCATAAATCACCTGTATGACCATGTTTGGGAGAAGAAAATAATAAAAACACTTTTCAAAAATCTTTTCATGGTAGTTTTCATCTGGTTGTTTCAGACTTAAAATATATCACAAGGTGATATATTTAAAAGTGATATTTGTGCTAAATATTGATAAAAGTGACATGTTGATGATAACTTTGATTGTACCCACCGCTACTAAAAAGTAAGATGATGTACAAACCTGAAAAGGCAGGGTAAAATTATCTGTGGAAGAACAAATTCTATAGCATTGTTATTAAGCCTGGTTTTACTCACGAGTGAAAGAAACACAAATGCTGTTTTATGACACCCTGGTCTTGAGATTTTTAGAATGAGGGTTTGTAAACAGATAATCAACAAAATATATAACTTTATAATTTTGCATAAGTGTTAAAACAATAATGTTAAAGTAAGGTTAAACTAAATATGCATGCATATTTGCATTGTGCGTATCACGAAATTAGACTTATTAACACTATGATATTGCTATTTGATAAATATGTAAAAATTACCTTGTGTAATACAAAAACACAAACAAGACAAGTTGTGTACTCATGAAATTAATTTACTCGCGGTCAGTTATTTCCAGTATCTTTCCTCCCTTTAGTTCTGCCACGTTAGGCCCTGTCCAAATCAGATCTACCTGTTGATGTCTTCAGTTCGGATTAACCCGAAACAGTAAAACATTTTCAGGGCAGCACTGCCCGTACAAGCTACCTGTTTTTGGATTAAGGTTATACAAGTCTACCAGGGTCCCGAGAAATACTAAAAAATACATTGTATTCTCCGCGCATTGCCAAAGGTGCCCTATTGTCAGAAATACTGTACGCAACACCAACCTTCCGAATTAACTCAGCAGATCAATCTAATTAAAATAGAAGAACGGAAAAGGGAAAAAAAAACATTTATGTTTCTCTTTAATCGTACTCACCGAAGACCCAGCCCAAAACGGACACGAATTCCTGATAGGAGGTGAACTGCTGAGAGACAGAGCCCCGAATGACAGCGCCACCATAGAGCAGCCGAGAACCAGCTGCAGCAAGCCGAGAGACAGCAGAGGTCTGCCGGGGAGGAGAGCGGGGAGCAGTCGGGACTGAGATCCCGGCATACGAGACACCCCAGAAATGCAGCGGTGTCGAGTCCTAAAGGATGGGTCTGCCAGCTGGGAAGCCAACGATACCCCCGCAACGGGGCAACAAGATCCCGGGAGAACTACCGGCAGAGACATCGAGGACGACGCGGGCAGCAGCAGCAACAACAAAATAGCGATCAAAAAATAAAGAACACGGTTATCTTCACAGGAAGGCACTGTTAGATTTAGTCATTATGGTTCCTTTAGTTTAGGTTAAAGGGAAGCACCATGAAAAAAAGCATTAGTTTATTGTCCCGCTTCCTCTTCCACGAGAGTTATTCCTTCTTCCCATGTTCGTTTCGAAGAGACTGGGCATGAAGTTTTAAAATAACTGCTCCGTAGTCCTGCGAGTGGATTGCATTTCACATTTTTGGCATTTGAACGCACGGTGGTGATGAGGGATTCTCACCAGTGAGCCGCATGGGAACAGGCCGCAATACCGTACTTGTTGGGGATCTTTTGAAGTGTCGGAAAATACAAGGTTTGCCTGAGCTGCACTTATTTGAAAAGGCTGGCGGAAAAAAGGGAAATGGGAAGTCAGTCACTTCTAAGCTAGACCCACTGCATTTTAATTACCTGGATAGCCGCCAATATGAGAAAAACAAGCCTACTAGAAGATGCGCAACCACAACATCCCTTTGTAAATATTTTTAAGCAATAAGAAAAAAAACAACATACATCATACGTTTTTAAATTTTCTTTGGCTGTACAAAACTGAAGCCTTTTATGACATTTAACACTCGCACCCGGAAAGTTTCAGTCCTTAACAAGAGAAGGCTTTGAAATTGTCCGTCAGAGTGAATTCACATTTTCCTGATATTTTCAGGGAGACAAGCCCTGTCGTTTGTACTTCAGCAATAACTGTGACTATAGAAAGATTTATTGTATGTTATCGGTATTGTACGATCACCAGTAACTTAAAAGCAATTTGATTAACACCAGTTGCATCTTCAAACCCTTCCCAAATGTGCTTCAATTCAATTCAAGATTTAATAGCTTTATTATTCAGATATAAAATTATTTATTTAATGTCTTCTTTACTATTAAAAGCCCGATTTATTTATTCCTTATTTCCACAGTACTGTAAATATCTACTCTGGGGCATTACAATATTAACCAAGAAGTTTACCAGGATTTCATACTTAACAACCCTTTGGTGTGCATTTTATTTTCTTTTTATCTGTTATTGCTTAAACAGAAAACAAATCTGATTTGTTTTGTTTTGTATTTAGCATCTACAAGATAAATTATGCAATTGACATTAAAAATCTTGTGTTATTATTAACTATATTTAAATCTGAATTATGATATTAATCTGAGTTGTTAGCCATCTGTGCTCCACAACATCTTTTGCAAACATTCACCAGGTCATGGCAATGAGTGCTGTGCGTACAAGGTCTTTCATTTCAATGTCTCTTGCTTCGTTATTCATGGAGAACTTCAGAAAACGTTTATTCAAATACCTTCAAAGTTGAGGGTGATATTCCTATGGTACAGAGAGGCAAACACAGCCCTAGCCAAATAATGCCAGCAGCCATATCATCCTGCATCTCACAACTGACAACCCACTGAAGCTCAGCAGGTGTGAGTCTGGCCAGTAGCTGGAGAAGAAACTTAAGATCACTGCTGGAAGTGGTGTTAGTGGGGCCAGCAGGGGGCGTCCACCCTGGGGTCTCTGTGGGTCCTAATGCCCCAGTATAGTGATGAGGACACTATACCTTAAAAAGGCATTGTCCTTCGGATAAGAAGTAAAACAAAGGTCCTGACCCTCTGTGGTCATTAAAAATTCCATGGCGTTTCTTGAAAGAGGAAGGGTGTTAACCTGTCATACTGGCCAAAGTTCCCATTGGCCTATACCAATCATGGCCTCCTAATAATCCCCATCTATGAATTGGCTTCATCACTCTGTTATCCTCCCCACTGATAGCTGGTGTGTGCCGAGCGTTCTGGCGCACTATGGGTGCCGTCACATCATCCAGGTGGATGCTGCACATTGGTGGTGGTGGTGGGGAGTCCCCATTACCTTCACTCCATGAAGCTTGCCCCCTTACAAACAGCACAAACGATGAAACCCACCTCATTCAGTAGTGCTACATTTGTGCCAGTTTGTACCGTTGAAAGTAGTGTTTGGGCTTTTTTCATTTCCAAAATACAACACCTTGTAGGGGGGCTGAGTGATGTCATGACAAGGCGCTGTATCTCGGAAACGAAAGCAGCACAAACGCTACTTTCAACGGCACAAATGTGGCACTAACGATTGAGGTGGGTTTCATCATTTGTGCTTTTTGTAGGGGGGCCAATTCATGGAGGTTTTGAGTGGAGTGTTCAGAAAAGCGCTATATAAATGTAAGGAATTATTATTAATTAAAATCTGAGAAAACAAAGTCTCATTGAAAACAGGAAGAATGAGGAAAACAAACACCAGTTAAAGTCTTGAAAGTTGGCTGCTTTTTTGGTTTTCAGTCCAGTTTAAGGTCTTATATAACTGTCATATTTATACTGTATACCATATATTGCAACAAGTAAAGTTTTATTCCATGCTGAAAAGTGAAGAAAAGAAACACAATGATTCTGTTGTAGAGCCTTCTTTGGGTGTCAAATATATAAGAAGCAATTATTGTGTTTTCATTATTATTATTACATGCAAAGAAGGCTCCACAACCAAATCATTGTGTTTCTTTTCTTCTCTTTTCAGCCTACGCATGCTGACACAGCGACCTACTTGAACTACTTCTGGATATATTGGATTCGCTGGACATAGATTATAATTTGTATAATGTTCAAGACATTTTAAAATTGTTTATTTTTCAAATTAATATTTTATGTATGCTTTAATGTACGCTAATCCATGTGTTCCAATACCAGTTCACTCTCAGATTTTGTTGTGCAGACTCCAAACCATGGCCGCTTCCACAAGTTTCACAAATGGTCTGTACACAATTAAAGACTGTTTCCTTAACTCATCTGCAAGAATACATCCATTCATCCATTTTCTAACCGCTTCATCCAGTTCAGGGCTGCAGAGGAGCCAGGGTCTCTCCCAGCAAGCAATTGGTGCAGGGCAGGATACACCCCGGACAGGACGGGCGCCAGTCCATCGCAGGTCACACACAAACACACACTCACGCCAGGGCCAATTTTCCCAGAAGCCAATTAGCCTACCAGCATGTCTTTGGACTGTGAAAGGAAACTGGAGGACCCGGAGGAAACCCACGTGAACACGGGGGGAACACACATTTCAGCAGTGTAAACCAGTGCCCAACCATGCTGCCCACATGTATGTTTATTTTAGAACTTCAATGCATAGACATTTTTAAATATGGTCACTTAGATAAGTGCCAAAGAACCAGCCCAATCAACAATAAGAAATGAATTGCAGGCTTATTTTCAACTTCTTATAGCTAACGCCAAGTAAACATTATTAATCTACCAGTGTTCAGTTAAAAACAATACTGTTCTATTAAGAATTGCTTCTTGCATATACAAACTGCAAACTATTGCATACGATAAACAGTGTTTTGAAATACTTTCAAATACCATAGTTTATTTAAGTCAAAATCTAATTAAGACCGGGTGGAGGCATGAGTTTAATTAGCTTTATTAACTTAACCCGCCTGCCTGAGACAATGACAGTCTATCCTTCAGAGCAAGACTGTCAGGACCCCCAGCCTATGAGTGGATCCTCCAAAGCTGCTTGCAAAAGTTTAAGACAGAACACAAACAAGGAAACAGTAGATTGAACCAAGAAGGGGACATCAAAGGTCTACAAAGAAGCGTTTGTGGGATGACTAAGTATTTCCAAGTCAGTGAGTGAGAATGGAGAGTTTGGAACAACGTGTTCTGAAGAATATTGTTTGAAGCGAGGGTGACAAGGGAATACTGGACTGTAATTTCCAAATGGGGAGGAGT